GCCTCCCAAGTAGCTGGGACCACAGGCGCCCACCACAACGCCCGGCGGTTTGAAAATTTTAAAAGGGCTTTACTGAAAAGTCTCTCCCCCTCCAGCATTTGCACAGTTCCCCCCACCTCCACCCCAGTAATCAATTTTATTAGTTTTTTAAACTATACCTTTCCGAAATTTCTCTGTGCCAAAGCAAGCAAATAAGATCATACTTATCTTGCCCTTCCTGCCCTTCACAAGTGGTAGTATACTACACATACCGTTTAGTTAACAGTTTATCAGTTTATCTTGGAGATAACTGGACCCAGTTGGCTGACTCATTTGTTTTCAGAGTTGTATTATTATTTCATTGAGTGGATGTGCCATAATTTATTTAACCAGTCACCTCTGGGTCACATCGGTTGTTTGTGATTTTTCCAGCTGGCCTTTTAAGCCCTTAACACCCTACCCAACCTTGCTGCTCCCAGCTCTGTCCTCCCGAGCCCCTGCAGAGGCCTCCTACCTGCTCTCCCTAGCCCCTATAGTCCCCCATGACTGCTTCACTGAATCTCCACTCCATCATCACTCCCATACTCCTCATGTGCCTTCCCACTGATCATCTCCCCACGGTTACTGCCTATCTTGCCAAATACACTACAGTAACTTGGACTCTGATTTCTCCGGCTCCTCCACCACCTAGCACTAGGCACACAGTGGTTCTCAAGAATATTTGTTATACAGGCTGGGAACAGTGGCTCACACTTGTAATCCTAGTACTCTGGGAGGCCAAGGTGGGTGGACTGCTTGAGCTCAGAAATGCAAGACCAGCCTAAGCAAGAATGAGACACTGTCTCTACTAAAAACAGAAAAAATAGTTAGGCTTTGTGGGAGGTGCCTGTATCCCAACTACTTGAGAGGCTGAGGCAAGAGGATCACTTGAGCCCAAGAGTTTGAGGTTGCTGAGAGGTGTGATGACACCACAGCATTCTACCCAGGGCTATAGAGTGAGACTGTTCCAAAAAAAAAAAAAAAAGAAAAAAGAAAAAAGAAAAAGAAAAAGAAAAAAGAATATTAGTTATATAGAAGAAGTTATAAACAGAGCCATTTGATGGTGACTCTGGGAGTAAGAGCCCAGGAGCTACCAGGGTGGAAGGAACCTCATGTCTCAGAGGTTGCCAAGAAAGAAGCTCTTCCTTTTGCCTGAGTATCTGGAGTACTTGGGTGGGTCGTACTGCTGTCCAGGGTGTAATAGGGCAGCTGGAGTTCCCTTGTGCCCTTGTGGTGTGGACAATGGTAAGAACCTCCATGTGGAGTCAGGAGGGCAGAGCAGTAGATAGCATGGGTATGTGTGCAGGTCCTCAAATGCACTCCTCTTTTCTCTATTAATATCCTTGTCACCTTTCCTAGGCTGGCTCAAGCTTCAGTCCTTTCAAGAAGCCTTCCTGGACAGCTCTAGCCCCTGGGAGCTGCTGTGTGTACCAGCAATAGCAGTCACTGTTTGGAAAAGTCAGCTGTCTAAACCCTTCCACCTGCAGTCACATAAACCTCTCTTCCTCATGAGCCACCCCATGATCCTCTGTTTTAGAAGACTAATAATTTTCTTGTCCCCCACCTAGGAGGTCCTATACCAGTATTCTTTGCAAGAACAAGAATTGTTTCCAGGAATGCCACTGCAGTGAGTGGGGTGGGACAGAGAAGTCTGACCTAAAACATCTGAGGAACACAAGTGGCTTTAAAAATGTCACTGCCCCCCACCCCAAATCTTTTCCTCAGTCCCTCCTCTCCTGGCACCTGGAAATTGATGGCCTCATAGACAAAAGCTATGAAGGCCTGGCTCATGTCCCTTGAAGCTAAAGCAAGTAAAGGAGACTTTTCAGAAATGTCTCTGTCATGAAAAATGAACAATAGCAGGGGACAGTTAAATTAAGAAATTAAAGCCATCCCCTGAGCAAAGGACTCATCTACAACTTGCACTTTACCTTAGAAATGAAAACACTGTGACTTAAACATTTATACCCTCACATCAATCTGAAATTAAAAAAAAGAAGAAAAAGATTAAAGCTGTGGAACAGGCAAAGGCAATGTGTGAATCTTGATTGTGGATTGGAAAAGAAATAAAATCCTAAAATGACATTTGGGGGATAAATGGGAACTTTTTAACAGGCAGTGTATATGAGATGATAGTGTATCGATGTTAAGTTTCTTGAGTGTGATAACTGCATTGTGGTCCCACAGGTGAATGTTCTTATTCTTGGATAACGGATGCTGAAGTACTGGGGGAGGCAAAGAGAAAGGCGTTGGCCCCTGTGCCGCTCATTCTTTCAAGTTCTCTGTAGGTTTGGATTTTTTTTTTTCTGAAAAAAGTCAAGTGGAAAGTGCCTTTTGGGTAAGATCTGGGATGAAGTGAGGAAAAATGTGGCAGTGACCCTGTCCCAGGAAGCTCAGAGGAAACAGGGTCTCATCACCTTTCCCTCCATGCTGCCCAAAAACCATCAAACTCCAGCCGTTGGCTTGAAACTCCAGCTCTCAGCATCTTTCACGCAGGCCTCTTCTCATGAGGATCTGATGGGACCTTCCACAGTGGGTAGCCATCCCTGGCTTGGCTATGATGGCACCCCGAGTGCCTTAAAGGACCACTGCTGGCCTCCCCGCAGAGTTAACTGAACCCTAAGTGGGATTGATGTATTTTGGATTTTTAAAAGTTATATTCACTTAACTTCACATTAAAAAAAGAATTTGATGTACGCCAAATGTCCTCCCACATTCTCTTCGGAGCCCTGTTTACGTAGCTATTTCCCACTCTCCTCATCGGATTAATAGAGTTTGTTATTTTATTGCTTTTCCTACCTTACTCTTTTCTTTTTCTTTTTCTTTTTTTTTTATTAAATGGTAACTATGTACATTAATGCACTTCTAGGGTACAGTGTGGGGTTTTCACATGCAATCCGAAATACTTCCATCAAACTGGTCAACACAGCCTTCATGTCATTTTCTCAGTTATTGTTTTAAAACGTTCACATTCTACTCTTAGAAAGATTCACTTGTACCCCTATAAGATAAACCTCAGACCTTACTCTTTTCTAAAGGGCATTTCCTTGTATTCCCCGAAGCCTCATGCCCCACTTTTTGAGGTCTACAGGATGCTTCGACCGTCGGCTTTGGCCAGCCACGTCCCTCGTGTTGGACACAAGGGCTGTCTCCAAAGCGCCCATACGACCTGGTCATGAACGTGCCGCCTCGGGAGGACAGGGGTGGAGGAGGCGGGCCAGGGAGAAGCTGGGGGAGGCGGGTGGCTCGTCTCCCAGGCAGGGCGTGGGCCGCGCGAGGTCCCCAGCCCACCGGGCCGTGCCAACAATGGTCTGTTGTGGAAGGAGGCAGGAAGGAATGCGGCCGGGGGAGTTGGGCGGCGGGGCCGCGGCGGCGGCGGGGCGGGGCCGGCTCTCGGCTGCAGCCTCTTACCTGCCCAGGTAGTTCGCATTTCGCGGCGAGCGGCGGCGCCCGCAGCACCTGTCGCCCGGTGCGCGGGCGGGGAGGACGGCGGGGGACATGGCCTGGTAGAGTCCCCTGGGGAGACCGTGCGGAGTTCAGTCCGGGGCAGGGCAGGGCGAGGGAGGGACGGTCCTTCCCCGGCGCCCGCGCGGCCTGCGGCAGCATGAAAAAGAACCAGACGGTGCAGGGCACCTTCAGTAAACTCTTCGGGAAGAAGCATGCCAGCCCCCCCAGCACCTCCCTCTACGCCACCAACCCGCCCTGGATTTTCACCCAAGAGGCCCCGGAGGAGGGAAGCAGGGATTTTGGTAAGTTCCCCGGGGGGGCGGGACGGGACGGGGTTTGGGTGGAGGAGAGGCTAGCGGCGCTGCCTCCCTCCCGGGTCTCGGCTGGGAAGGCGGGAGGCGCCGAGGGGCAGGGACACGTTGGGACCTGCGGACTGTGAAGAGGGAGCTGCCGGAAAGGGGTGGGGGCGCCAGGTGCCTGGGAAAGGCCGTGCGTGCGGGCAGAGAGGTGCGGGGAACGAGGGGACACCTCCGCGGCCAGGTGGGAGAACTTCGCCGCCCCCACGTCTGAACCGAGCCCTCTCCAGAGGGGTTCTGTGGATCTTTTGGTGTGTCACTGTTGGCGACAGGCTTCCTGCGGTTTGCCGTGTATCTCCCCCGACTATTCAGAGTCTGGGGAGTGTTCCTCCAGACTCTGGGGGAGGGGGCAGTCTCATTCTTCATCCTTTCTGCTTCCTCTTTTCTTCCCAGCCCTGCTGCCAGCCCCTCCTGGCCTCTTCCAAGGGCAGAGAGGTGTCTGTCACCTGGGTGCCTACACAGTTGGTCCTGCATAGAAGAGGTGCAGGAACAACCAACCGGAGCCACTGCTAGCAGGTTACGGGTCTGTTTGTGACACCAAGTTAGTATTAGAGTCAGGCTCATGCCAGGTAAACCTTGGCCTGGACTGTCTCTAGGCTCTGAGTGGAGAGCCAGAAATGGGACAGTAGAGGCCAAAGATCCTTCTCCCTAACTGCCAGCTGACCACTGAATCAGAGAGCTGTGTCCATCTCTGCAGGAATCTGAAAACACCACTGCTGCCCTGTGGGTGCTTGGGCCTTGGGTCACCTTATCACAGCATCTGTCTTCAGTTTGTACTCCCTAAAACTGAGGGAAGCCAGGAGGGCAGGGACAGGAATGCCTTCCTGGTTACAACCTGTGGCTCTGGGCCTGGGGTGGGGTGGGGGCTTCCTGGGGGGAAAAAGGAAGTTCACCCATCACTGCTTGAGTTCACCTACCTTCATCGTCACCATCTTATCTTCACTGACTTTTATGGCCACTGTGTAGCCTCAGCCCCTGCTGTCAGATTGAGTTCAGTACTCAGGTTGTCACAATTGTGATAACTAGGCACCATGGATAGGACAAGATGTCGCCTCTCCCTGGCCCAAGGATTTCAGACCAGCCAGTGATCAGAAGTAACCATATGCCATTTAGCCCTTTTTGAGCAGATAAGGAGCAGAGAAGATGGATGACTTCTCAGTGGAACTAGCATTTGAGGGGAGCAGGAAGGGCATTCTGGACAAAGCAAATAGTAGAAGCAGAGTGGGTGGGGCAAGGTGAGTCGGAGGCTTGGTTTAGGAACAGTGGAGATACAGGCACCCTGGCAAGTAACTGAGGCCTGAACACCTCCTCATCTGAATAAAGCCATTACACAGCCAGCACTTATCCGTCCCTTCTTAGGTATAAGCTACCATTCTAAAATCCTTGTTGATTCATTGAATTCTCATCTGGAATCAGATGCTATTATCATTCCTATCTGGCAAATGAGGAGACGGAGGAGGTATAGGAATGTTAAGTAACATGCCCAAGATCACACAGGTTTAAATGGTGGAGCCAGGATATTCATAAGAGTGCAATTCAGGCTCAGTGCCTGTGGTTCAAGCAGCTAAGG